CAGTCACTGCAGGTGTGTGTGGGGGGGTATTTGTGAATTTCCTGCCTTGTGCAGGGGGGTGGACTAGATGACCCTAGAGGTCCCTTCCAACTCTTATGATTCTATGAAGTGCTTGAATAGGCAGACAGGAGTGAGAAGGGCTAGATCCGCATCCCCTTGCACGAGGGGACAGGAATCCAGCCCTTCTCACTCCTTTGTTAAGACAGCTCTGCAGATGGCCCAGACCAATCTATGGCTGCCGTCACACACACAACAAAAGAATCCACTTTCAGTCCACTTTCCAACAGGATCTTGCCAGTCCACACAGTAAAAATCCAGTTGGAAAGTGCTCTGAAAATGGATCGAAAGTGGATTACTTAGCGTGTGTGACCGCAGCCTAATAGTTTCCACAGGTATCAGGGCTTGCTCTCAGAAGTCACTCTGGCAGACACAAGCATTATGCCGGAAGCGGCCTCCCGCTCTCAGTAGCCATTCTATCATTCCATTTTCTGCTTGCTTCTTCCTTGCATTTCCCTCTCTCATCTCCCCTTTGCTGTCCCAGGATTTGCGCGTGCGCACACACACACACACACACACACACACACACACACACATATAAAAAAAGAAAAATGCTTCTGACACCCCCCCAAAATAATTTGGTTTGGAGTAAACAAATGCTTGAGAGACAGAGACAGAGAGACAGAGAGAGAGAGAGAGAGAGACAGAGAGCTGAAGAACAGGCGCGGATGTCGCAGAAGCCAGTGCTGGGGGCCTGGGGGTGGTGGTGCAGCAGCCAAATTTCTGCTTGGGGCAGCTCAACTCCGGTCGCCGCCTTGAGGCATTGCTCCATCCAGGAAGGCTTCATATACTTTTTCTCCACTGCTGCTGCCCGCGAGCGAGAGGTTTTTAAAAGTATTTTTGCCAGTGTTTTTAATAAGCAGGGTGAGAGAGCCGTGGAAGCTCATCCATCCACAAAGCAGGCAGCGCACGGGCTGGGGATAGTGGAAGCCTTGGGGGGAAATGTGCATAATCCCTGCCCAGTGCCCTTAGAGCAAGGAGGAGGCACAACCCATACAAGGACTCCTTCCTCTACTGGTGGAGAGAACCGGACTGCACACCCCTGCAGAGTCAACGTGTTCAAATACGCGGCATTCTGAGAATCTCAACCTGTCTGGAAAGTGTCTAGCCGTGCCTTGTAAAGGCCACATGCCTGCCATGGGAAGGGTTTCCAGCCCTCAAAGGTGTCACCCGGCATATAATTTCTGCTAACCCATTAGGGCCTGCTGGAACACACAAACCTGCCTCATACTGAACCGGTTCCTTGGTCCATCACGGTCGGGAGGGAACTGTCTACTCAGACTGGCGGTGGCTCTCCCCAGGTTCTCCAGCAGAGGTCTTCCGCATCACCTCCCACCTGGTCCTTTTCAACTGGAGGCACCAGGGTTTGAACCTACGGCCTTCTGCACGCCAAACGGATGCTCTGCCCTGATCTAGGCCTCACACTGAACAATTCCTGTGTGGAGCTTTATGCCACTCAGCAACAGTATGTGTAGCCTGGAGAGGAGACGACTGAGAGGTGATATGATAAGTACTTGAAGGGCTGTCATATAGACTCTATAGATATGTCCAACAGGTAGATCGTGAACTACCAGTAGATCGCGGAGGGGTCAGAGGTAGATCACCAGCCCCACTTGGTCTCCTGGTATAAAATAAAATAAGAAATGTTCGCAGTTCTTTCTGGATCTTTGTCTCTCTGTTTTGTTTTTGCTTATTTTGCTTACCAGTAAATGAAAGAAGGTGCATTATAAATGGAGGGGGCGGCGGTGGAACCCAACTTTAGTGGGTTAAAATCTAATTTGAAATTAATTTGAAACTTTATTTTCATGGTGGTAGATCACCGGCACTTTTGGCCGGAAAAAATAGATCACTACCTGTTCAAAGTTGGACATATTATAGAGGATGGTGCGGAGTTGTTTGCTGTTGCCCCAGAAGGTCGGACCAGAACTAACGGGTTGAAATTAAATCAGAAGAGTTTTTGGCTAAACTTTAGGAAGAACTTCCGATTCCTCAGTGGAAGAGGCTTCCTTGGGAGGTTTTCAAACATAGGCTAGATGGCCGACAGCAATGCAGATTCTGTGAACTTAGGCAGATCATGAGAGGGAGGGCAGGAAGGGTTGTATCAGTGCTTAGTTCTTGTGGGCCTTTCTTACACGCCCAGGGAAATGCCGATCGCCACGTTGGGGTCAGAAAGCAATTGTTCTCCAGGCTAGTTTGGCCAGGGATCCTGGAGGGTTTTTTTCATCTTCTGGGCATGGAATAGCAGTCACTGCAGGTGTGTGTGGGGGGGAATTTGTGAATTTCCTGCCTTGTGCAGGGGGGTGGACTAGATGACCCTAGAGGTCCC